TAGGGTGTAGGGTTTAGGGTTCTGAATTCAGAAATTCTTGCCTTGTTATTTTTTTGAGGGTCCATGTACCCCAATAGTATATACTTTGGCCTTAAGGTAGTCCCTATATAGGTACTTTGGGGCCAATGTATACACTATATGAGTACATGGACCCTTAGGCTTCTGAGATCTCCACTTGGCGTTCTTCTGGTTTGCTCTTAGGACTTTAACTTTTTTGGGTCTCTATAAGAACTATAATAAGTAGGCTAAAAGTGTAACTTTTAGGAGGGGTTCAGAAGTCAGCCAAGTCCGCATTAACACCGAATATTAGGAAAAAGGGTGCCATTGTTAAGTAGGGGTCACTCAGAAACCTAGAATTTCATGGGCCTGAAATGGAGAGAGATTGCGATTCAGATTCGCACCCCTAAGCCCTAAACCCGGAACCCTTATAAACCCTAAACCTCTAAAGCCTCAAAACCCTACAAGCCCTAAACTCTGAACTTTGCGGTTTAGGGCACATGCTTTCAGAAACCCACTATCTGCAAAGTATCTCGGAGCTTATGTCGCTAATTGGCAGCAGTCTGGCGTCTTCTTCCATGGCCGCCGCTTCATCTGAAGACATGGATTTGGTCAGACTTTAGGGTTTAGGTTGTAGAGTTTAGGGGTTTAGGGTTTAGGGTTGAAGCTTTAGGCTTTCGGGGTTTAGGGCTTTTATGTTTAGGGTTTAGGGTTTAGGGTTGTCAACTTCTTAATCTGACAACATAAAGCTTAAACCATAAACCTTAGACCCCGCACCGTCTTAAACCCTGAACCTGCATACTTAGGGCTGCTTAGGGCGCGGTTTGAAACAACAGGGCAGACTGTTTCGAAGCAGGGTCCTAAGGCTCCATATGCCTATGTAGTCTATACCCTAAACCCTAAACCGAAAACCTACACCCTAAACCCTACATCCTCAACCCTAAACCCTAAAACCCTAAACCCTACAGTCTAAATCTCAAACCCTAAACCCTAAACCCCCTAAACTATCCTTAGGCCTTAACATGGAGCCTTCGGGTCCCCCCCCCACCTTAAGCCCGAAGAGCCGTATCTCCCTCTGTGTCACTGCAGCCTGCGACATGGTGTGTTGCTCTTATGTCCGTGGCAGCCGAAGGCTCAGTGGCTCAGTGTCCACGGCAGACTTAGGGTTTAGGGGGGTCGATCGATAGGCCGCAGGATTTAGGGTTTAGGGCTTTGGGTTTAGGGCTTAGGGTTGAGGGCGAAAGGGTTTAGGGTTTAGGGTGCAGAGATTCATAGTTTTCCAGGATGCATGTGCATCATCTTGGCTTCATCGCATTTGCTCTGGCCGGCGAGACAGCTGGTCTCCTGCAGAGATGGGAGTGCGTGAAGAACCGTCCATGCTCCATCCAGTTGAGCAGCGATAACGTCACAACCGAGGACATCATCCTTGTTGACGATCAGACCCTAGGATGTTCAGTAGTATCCCTTTTTACTTTTTGGGGTATTGGTTTCTGATATAATATACATAACCTAAAAAAGTATGTACCTTTTCCCAGTTCGTTACTGAACAGCCTAGGACCGCTGACGAAGATGGTGCCTGTCCGGTGTGCTCTGAGACGAGTCGCGGCTTATGTCCCTGGCTGACGAGAGACAGTGGCATTGACGATACTGTCATGTGCGAGGACGGAAGCTTTACTACACAGTGGGCATGCCAGCTGTACGGCTCCGGAGATCGTGTGCTTTGCCCACCCAATACTGTATTGTGTGCAAACAGGGCTTGCGGAGGAGGGCTGGACTTTTGCTGTGAGTCGCAGGCACCGGATGAGGCCACCACCTGCTTGATGAATGGCGGGCCGCGTGGTTGCCCCTATTTGGATTTGACCGCCGGGCTAGCTGCCGTCCTCAATACAACCCATGGTTCTACTCGGACAGGCGGGGCTTGTCCGAAACCTGCGACCGAATACGAACCAAACTACAGCCGACTGTATAGATCCCAAGGTATGACCACGACAGCTGCAGCTACTGCTGCTGCTGCTGCTGCTGCTACGACGACGACCACAACAACAACCACAACAACAACAACAACTACTACTACTACTACTACGACGACGAAAACTACTACTATTACTGCTACTGCCACTGCTACTGCCACTGCTACTGCGACTACTACTACTACTACGACGACGACGACGACGACGACTACTACTACTAGTACAACAACAACAACTACTACTACTACTACTACTACTACTACTGCTACTACTACTACTACTACTACTACTACTACTACTGCTACTACTACTTCTACTATTACCACTACCACTGGCACTACCACTACTACTTTTGCTACGATTACAGGCTAGTACCGACGACGACGATGCCTACTGCTACTGCCAGCTTGAATGTGAGAGTGACCCAGGCATGCACAGCATCTGCCGCTGCGGCCCGGAGCACTTCCTCAATCGAACTCCTGGCATGAGGCAGTTTATAATATATATATATATATATATGTATATGTATAATTTGTATAATTATAGATGTCACATATATATATATATATATATATAAGATATACAATAAACATATATATATATATGTATGTATGCATGTCATACATATATATATATATATATATATTGTAAATCGCTGAGCTTGGTGGTTCAGACTTAGGGTTTCGGGCCACAGGGATTAGTATTTAAGGATTAATTAGGGCTTTAGTGCTTGAGGGTTTAAGGTTTAAGCTTTGATTCAGGTTTACCAAGAACCTCAGTTCCATTTTTTGGGGGTTACTTTAGCTGCACGCAAGGCACTTCAGTGCAAGCATAGACTGGCATTACGTCATGGCGCGTAGCTCTGGTATGCTATGACTATGTTTCAAGGAAAAAACCAAGGAGAAGCCAGAAAGTTGGAACATCATGCTCCTCATACCCTTGAAGAAGGTAAAGTCTAGGGAATCCCTGCACCAATCACCCTGAATCCATGTTCAAACTTTCTGGGGATCACTTTCCTGAACCCTAAACCCTTATATAACCCTAAACCCTAAACCCCTAAACCCTAAACCCTAAACCATAAGCCCCAAACCCCAAACCCTAAGCCCCTAAGCCCCAAACCCCAAACCCAAAACCCTGGGTTTCAAGTTTTGCCGTTCGGAGCTGAACTTGCGACCGGGAGAGCGCAAAGGTCGCAGGCGCACAAGCGAAGGTGTGTGTTAAGGGTTTCTGGGGGGGTTGCGGGTTTTGGGTTTAGGGTTTAGGGTTTAGGGCTTAGGGTTTAGGGTTTAGGGTTTAGGGTTTAGGGTTTAGGGCTTAGGGTTTAGGGTTTAGGGTTTAGGGTTGGCTGATGATAT